GGCCCCGCCGAGCCCCCCCCCGCCCCGACGGGACCCCCGAGACCCCCAAAACCCCCCACTCCGGGCAGCGGCGAAAACCGCCCGGAGCGGATCCGGATCCGGATCCGGGAGCGGGAGCGGGAGCGCCGCAAGAACCGGAACCGGAGTGGGGGCGAGGAGAGGAACCGGAGCGGGATTGGGATCAGGAGCGGGATTCGGAGCGGGGTTGGGATCAGGAGTGGGGTTAGGAGCGGGATTAGGATCAGGAGCAGGGTTAGGAGCGGGAGTGGGGTTAGGATCGGGATTCGGAGCAGGAGCGGGGTTAGGAGCGGGAATAGGATCGGGAGCGGGAATAGGATCGGGAGCGGGTTTAGGATCAGGAGCGGGTTTGGGAGCGGGAATAGGATCGGGAGCGGGGTTGGGATCGGGTTTAGGAGCAGGCGCGGGTTTAGGAGCAGGGTTAGGCTCAGGTTTCGGGGGGGTTCTGGGGCCGGGCCCCCCCTCCCCTCCGGCGCTGAGCCCCGCCGAGCTGCGGCGGTACCGGGCGCTGCGGGGCCGGGCCGGGGGGGCCGCGGGGCGGGCGGAGCTGGCTCGGCTGGAGGAGGAGCTGCGGCACCTCGAGTTCAAATGCCGGCACCTCCTGCGGGCGCAGCAGCTCGAGAGGCTCCGGGAGCGCGGCCGGAGGGCCTGGAGGGACCCCCGGGCCGGCCCGGGGGGGGGCGCGGATGGAGGAGCAGCAGGAGGAGGAGGAGGAGGAGGGAGGGGGATGTCGGGCGGTGAAAGAGGAGGCGGCGGGGGGGGTGGGCAACCCTTGGCCGACATCGCCGAAGCCCCCGAGCGCGACAGCACCAGCGCCTACAACACGGGCGAGAGCTGCCGCAGCTCGCCGCTGATGCTGCGGGGTGGGGGGAACGCGGGGGGGAACGGGGGTCCCGCCGGACCCCCGGGCAGCTCCGCCAAAGGCCCCCGCGCCAAAAGGCCCGGGCGGGACCGGCTGCTGAAAGCTCGGGCCATCAAGATCCTGGAGGAGCGGGGCGGGGGCTCCACCGACGACGACGCCCGCTCGGAGCTGAAGACCGGGCGTTACTGGAGCCGCGAGCAGCGCAAGCAGCACCTGGCCCGGGCCCGGGAGCAGCGGCGGCGCCGGGAGCTGTTGCTGCTGCAGGGCCGGC